CATATGACGATTCATACCGCTAAAACCGCACGCTTGTCCTGTGTGTTGTAGAAATATCTCTCAATCACGTAGTATGAGAAGGCACATGAGAATTCATGATAAGCCCAGATTCAACTCCACTACATGCGATAAATCTTTCCCGTGGAAATTCCCTTTGAAATAACACATGAAGATTCAAATAACGGGCTGATAGACGCATTTCAAACCGAAACACGCATTGCTATTTCTGATGTTGTTGTATTTTCTATACGATAAATTCATTTTTCCTTGTTGTATTGTTATCATTGTGTTGCTTTATTTGTGCATTGGTATCGTTCCTCTACCATTTCTTTATTATTTCTCTTATCTTAGTGAATAAAATTCCTCGTTTCGCACCTACTTGCACTTTAATAAACAGCCTTTTCATTATTAATGCATATATGATAAGCAGGTAACTTACATGCCATGCATGAAGAACTTGCAGTTAAGTGACACTATACTAAATTTCCATCATCTTAAACAAATACAAATAAAAATTGATATTGTCTCACATTAATAAAAATAAAAATTGATATTGTCTCACATTAATAAAAATAAAAATTGATATTGTCTCACATTAATTCCTCACTTGACTATTGCACAAACAACATGGAAGTAAATTTTGGGCAACAAAATCTTAATCACAACACTTGAAATCTCCCATCATTTCATAGGGTTACCCATTCATTTCATTTGTCAACTCGCAGTTCTGTTGCAAAGTTGCGTTGAGGATAATGGGCATTTCAGTTTTGCCATTTGTAAGTAACGTTTCATTCAGTTGATAGTCCATCCCAACTACAGTCTCACACCAGTGAATTGCCGAGTAGTTGATTTGCATTCAATGAAAGTTCCAAATCGGTGACAGATTGCAGGAGTTCCAGTGCAAATAGCAGTAGTGCAAGTATTACTATCAGGAGTAGTTCCAAAAATAGTGGCTAGTGTGTAATATGACCAGTGATTTTTTATAGTAATCAATACACCGGATCGATAATATAACGATGATCAAAAACGGCAGAAACTTTACTAGATTTTCAGCAAGTCTAAACCTTAGACCTGAAAATTAAGGGTTTTTTAAAAATTCACATTAATCCAAAAAACGGATAAGGGTTTTTATGTAGATAAGGATTGTGAGGATTGTGGAAGATTTTTATATGTGTTCTCCAGTGCATAACATGATCAGTGATTTTTGACAGCAAAAAATATATCCGATCTAATGACCGAATGTTGTGACAGCTTTGCATACCTAGAATGAAATTTTACCATATACCACCCAATCACTTTTGTTAGGTATTGGTCAAAGACCGCATGTATAAATGTTAATTTTGTTGGGAGTGGATAGCCATGTGCATCGATAGCCTATGTTTGTCGCGAATTTTAATATCGCGAAATTCCAAATAAACAATAAATTCCTTATTCAAATTGTAAATAAATGTTAATAGTGTAAATCATTTAACCAATTTACATTCCTCAACATTATTTCCCATGCCCCTTTTTTTTGTTATTTTTGTCTAACGAAAATTCACATCTTTATTTTTTTTTGACAAAAGAGGTCCAATTTGCATGCTAATCTTGCCCATCTGATCTTATTACAATGCTTATCTTGTAATTGGATCTTTACAGTTTCCTGTGTATTCAAATGAACACCGTTTTAGAACGTTTTATGTAAACCACTCCTGTCGGAAAACCCGAAAGAATTTATACATTAAATGTTTAGAATATTTCTAATGATTCATCATTGCATTCATTCACCAATTTACACTCTTTAAAATTAACTCCCATACGTTTCTTTGTTATCTTTGTCTAACGAAAATTCACATCCTTACAGTTTCCTTTGTATCTAAATGAATATCCCTTTTTAACGTTTCATGTAAACCACTCCTACTTTTTTATACACATAAACCCTTTTGAAAACAAAGGAGAGGTTTTCTTGGACTAGTGCTCTTCCATAGTACTTGACTTACGATTGCATTTGAATCACGGTCGAGCGATTTCCTACTCGTTGCTCTTCAATAATCCCACTGATCAGCTTTGTATTATATCAATAAAGCAGTAATTTTTACTCTGTGTCCTCACAACGTATATTCGACGTCCTCACAAGGTAAGCCTTTAATTAAATTTCTGCTTGATCCTAGCTCAAGGCTAAACTTAAATCTAAACGACTCGATAGAAGGAAAGAATAGTTTTTTCACAACTCCCACTTCTTAACACATATATACACCTTATTGTAAGAGATAGGATGAATTCCTTTGCTCCCGGAGCAATAAGACGGTTATATCCCTCCTCTAGTAAATATTCTTTTCCTTTCTGCTGCTTGTTCAATTGGTCTTATTCATCCCTTTTATATATATTAATAAAAGTTAATCTTTTCTGCTGAGTCATTTTCGTGGCATAACTGACGTCTTTATGAGCTTCCACCGTAATAAGGTAAGCCTTTGTTAAAATTTCTTGTGTACCTTACTACAAGCCAACCCCTTAAAGTTCCTGCTTGTTCCTAACCATTGATTAACCACAACAAAAACAAGTCACGACAGTGTTCACGTACAGTAATGTAACAATAGCAATCACTGTTTAATCCCTTATACTAAATAAAATCCTACTTTTTTATGTGATTTTTTTTATATAATTAATAATTTTACATAATTTGAGGAACCACAAACAAAACCGTTGGATTTATCAATGTCAAGAGTGAGCGGGATACGGAATGGACCATCATATCTATAAATGCCAGAAGTGAGTAAAGGACAAGTAAAACTAAACGAAACTGATCAGGATGACACAAGGTTATTGAACTTGTCAATTCAAGAAGCCAGTGAGGAACAAAAAGTATAGGAAGGAAAAAGAGATCCCGGTGCGAGATGGATCAAAATGAAATACCAAGACTGAAAGAATATACGATTCACACAGGTGAGAAGTGGTTCAATGATAATCATACCAGTAAAAGCCGTCCTATTGTCCGGAATGCAATATGAATTTCACCCGGTTATCGAATCTGCATAATCATATTGGATTCATGCTGATGAGAAACCGTATTCTTGTCCGAAATGCAAGAAGAATTTCACCCAGTCATCGAATCTGAGTACACATATGAGAATTCATACCGATGAGAAGCCGTATTCTTGTTTGGAATGCAAAAAAAACTTCGCCCTAAAAGCGGATATGAAAAGACACACGAAGATTCATGACAATGATAGGCCCAGATTCAACTGCACCGTATGTGGTAAAGCTTTACTGACGAAATCCTATTTGAAATCACATTTGAAGGATCACATGATGAGCTGCAGATGCAGTTTAAACCGAAATACACATTGCTATTTTGTTGTATTTTCTATAAGTTAAACTCATTTTTCCTTATTGCATTGCTAGCATTCTGCTGCTTTATATGTATCGTTCCTCTATCGTCTCGTTATTATTTCTCTTAGCGAATAAAATTTCTCGTTTCATGTCTATTTGCAATGATTCTTGACAGCGACCAATTTTTCAGACAGATAAAACACTGATCAAAACCAGCAAAAACCACGTCATACTTCGTTAAATGGTCTAAAAATTAAGAATTTCTTGAAATTTTTCATTAATCCAAAAAATTTCCATTAATCCGAAAAATGGGTGAAAATTTTTAGGTCTTTCTCTAGTGTACAACATGATCAGCGGTTTTTGACAGCAATCAGTATATCAGAGAGAACATTTATCAAATTTTGGAAAAACCACTTTTTCACCAAACCTAAGTCTAAGCTCAAGACTGGAAATTAAAGAATTTAAAAAAATTCTCGCAAATACGAAATACTTGGATGAAAATCTTTCGATGTCTCCACTAATGTCCAACATGACCAGTGATTTTAGGAAGTAACTTAACCTAAGCCTAAGTCTAAGCCAAAGGCTTAGCCCAAGCCCGAGCCTAAGACTAAGCCTAATCCAATTTCGTAAAAATCGAGGTTTTTGCCGATTCTGACCATTTTTTTAATATATCTGAAATTTTTATTGTTATCAAAAATCGTGCGCTAGTGAGTGAAACAAAAAAATTACATTCAAGTAACTTGAATTAGTGTGAATTTTTAAAGAAATTCTTAATTTTTACGACAACTTCGTTGTAGTTTGTTTTTGCAAATTTTGGTCAGTGTTTGACATATCTAATATTTTTATTACTTGGAAAAAATTCTTAAAAAACCTTAATTTTTAAGCCAATTACGTGATAGTTCAAGGTTTTTGCAAATTTTGGTCAGCGTTTTATGGATCCGATATATTCATTTCTGATATATCCATGCTAATTTTGATCTAATTTGGTTCAATATATATGATATACTTATTGTCAAAAATCACTGATCACGTTAATGGAATTCGATAACGTTAGAGTGAGATAAAATAAGTGTGATATTAATGGGAATACACCGATGGTGTATTCCCATTAATATCACACTTATTTTATTTTATACACCGATGGTGTATTCCCATTAATATCGCATCAGAAATACAACTGCGAGAACCAAGTAGGGCTTCCTGAAATACCGGAAGTTATCCATGTGTTATCTGTGTATTGTTAACATACCAGAAGTTTATGAAAAGTTGACCTGAGTGCTTTACGTATCATCACAAGTAGAAAGATCGGAGTGTTGATCAATACCAGCATTGGGCCAATAATTAAATAAGCGTAAAGATGTGCATCATGGTTTGCAACTGATGATGAAGCTATTGTCACGTTTTTCAAATCATCAATTGTTGTTCGGTTTACAGTAACATTCATTGAAATACATGAAAAAATATAGCAGAATTAAAATAAGTAGCAGAGTCTATCTCTTCAGTGTTGCAAGATTT